AAAATTCTGGGCCACAGTTTACCTGTTCATGTCAAAACAGGGGACAATACAGAATTCCAAAATATACCAAAAGTTAACAATCAGCAGCACTATCTTCTGTTATTTTGAGAGAGGAAACACATGGGAACCCTGTTTTAAGGTCTAAAATAATACAAACTCTGAAATAGATTTAACATGGTTAAAAAAAAAGAAGACTCCCCTCCCAAAAAAACCTTTTTTAAAAGTCTCCACAAATCTCAGCCCCCGCCATTAAGCCCTCAGACCCTCTGACTCAGCCAATATTATGTGTGGCCTCAGCCAGGATGCTAAAAGGTTGATCATCTCTGTCTGACTGGATAACTTTAACTGGGGGTGGACTGAATGTGAGTCTTAGTTCAGAGGTATGCAGATTTTACTGGGCAAAGGATAACATTTGGTCTTTATGCAGCATTACAAAATAAGACCAGGGGCAAGATGAAATTTGATTTAATTTAATTAAATCCAAATTGAATTGACATTGAATCAGTTAAATAGATTATATATTTTTTCTGGAGCTATTTTTTTTTTTAAATTACAATGGCAAAATTGGGGCTGATGCCACTGTGGGTGGGGGGTTCTGCATCTTTTTCACAGACACATTCCTAGCCTGGCATGTATGCCCATGGAGAGGTGAACATCAAAATTACCACAGAGATGCACTGGGTAGAAAGATTCTGTTTACCTCCATCTCTGCCATGAATGGGGAAAGAGTTAGTTAATCCCGGCAGTCAGCCATTTAGGGTTAATTGGCCTTAAGGTTAATTGGCTGGGTCATTGACTCAGTTTTCCTGTTTGCAGGACAGCACTCTCCCCCCCTTCCTGTTAACAAAGCCAAGCCACTAAGTTACAATTGAGCAGCAACTTTAAAGGCACTCTGAGGATTATATCTGAGGCTTTGGGAGGCCACAGCTAAATTGGAGGCCACAGATTGCACCCACTGACTTTTGTGAGCGTTGAAAATGTACATTTTAAGCAGCTCCTGGAGCTCAGAAGCAATACCCACCCATCCTTGTTCACTCTTGGTTGTGAAAATCAATCTGATGTAACTAAAACATAGCGTGGCAGTTTTGCAAGGGTGGGAAGGGTTTTAATGCAGTGGTCCAGTTGTAGCAGGCCTTTGCTCTGGGGTAAAGAAGTTGTGTGATTTGCCTCTCTCCCTCCTCCGAGAGCCTTTTGGCAAAGGATGAGTGGGAACCCGGCGTGCAGAGTGGCAGCCTGAACATTCCTGAAAGTCCCTGGCTTCGGCTCTCTGTTCATGAGGATGGAAGGCAGCCAGGCTGCCAGATGTGAGTTACTTGCCTGTAGCAAGCAGTGGGCCTGGCTCAGACTGGTTCCACCACTTCTCTGACTTGAGCACTGATGGGAGTGCTTACTCCCAACACTAGCTCTCTGGCACAGGCAATTTCTACAGGCAGACACATCAGATTAAATAGGGCCAATATGGAAAGTGGAAAATTTTCAAAATCTATGACCAAATCTCAGAAGTAACACTTTCATGGGGCCATCCAAGATTCAAACTGGGATGCGTGAGCTTTCCTTTTTCACAAAACTTTTGTAGTGTGCTGTTAAACAACCTTCTGAAAAGAGTACTGTTAACTTCAAAAACTCATAACATGCTTTATGAATCTTGATTGGCTCTGTTAATACTACTTCGTTTGCTCCAGTTCTCTTCCCTCCATTCCATGGTTCAACACACTCACACTTTAAAATTCCCCAGAACATCTTATAAAGTTATGGTTTCTCATGTACTCGAGGCAAAAATAAGATATGAGAGATTTGCAATGTATCCATGGCCCAAAGTCATTACTTACCTCCAAATATTATTGAAAGAATGTATATACAATATTTTAAACACCTGAAAAATTCTCCAACCAGGTACTCTCCAGATGTGTTAGATGACACCTGTCATATTCTGTCATACCAGTGTACCAACTTGGATATGTTGCTAATAATATTAGATTTTGGAGACTTTAAGCCAGCAGTCAATACATTACAAGTAACCTTTTCAGGTTGGAGACACGTTTGGCATTTTGTGAGCATGTCTTAAGCAAATTTGCAAAACAGCTGGCATGAGAGAATTGCCTCTTCCCCAGAAGGCAGCCATGGTGGGCATGGCCAGTCACAAAATACTAATTTATCATCTAGTGAACTAGTCCTCCAGGATTCTCAAGTGGCATCTTTGTGAGGCTCAAAGGCGTACCTACAAATAAATATGTTGCCAGAAGCATGTCACTACCTCTTCAATTTTTTTAAAAATTAAAATAATCTTTTTAAAAAGTCGTTTGAGTTAAGGAGTCTGGTGGGCACCTAGAGAGATATCTGAGGGCATACTGGTAACCATAGGCATCATGTTCCTATAACCTGCATTTATGGTAGGAATCTCATTTTCGAAAGGAGAGATGTCGAGGTACATAACCTCTTTGTCATCACTGCATCCTGACAGTTCAGTACTTTTTTTCTCAATATTATTATGAAGCCAGGGAAGGATATTATTCCCAGAGCCAAAATTTGGAAAAGTAGGGCCAAAGAAGTTAAGTAATTCAGGTGAAACCATTCAGGGAGTTAAGGGTGGAGCATGAAGCCAAACCTTTATTTCAAAAGCCAAGAGTCAGCTAAGTTAATTAAAATCAGCAAAAAGGTGATTGAATGGGGTGGAATGTTTTGTTACTGTATCTCTCTGGAGATCAGAATCATATGCCCTGTGCTTCCATATTTGGTTGAAAGGGGTGTCTTCCTGGGCCACTTCCACACAGTCAGTTCACCCACAAATCTCAAAAGTATATTGTACTGTCCCACAAGTGTCCTCTCCCTGATGCCTTCCCAATTCTCAGTACTTCCTATGGATAGCTAGTGCTCTCTCCAGCTGGCCAATGTCATCTTGGGGACATCTAGTTACCTCCCCGCCCCCTTGCCTCAACACCTTAGTTTTTGCAGAGAGTAAGAAACCTGCCCCCTTCTGAGTTTGAGAAGTCTGATGAAATGGTGGCAGGGCACCATGAGACCTTAACTTTAGCAGGAAAGTGGGGGAAGCGAGACAAGGTAAGAATTCCTGCCCTTGGAGTAGCGCTCACCCTGCAGCTCCAGCACTAATGGTACATTGCTGTCTTTGCACTGCTTATGCTGAAGATGAGCTGGAGGTTTTTTGGCTCAGTGGTAGGGAGCTCCTGAAAACCAAATCAGTTGGGTGGAAGGACTCAAGCAAGTGAATTGGGGTCCTGTATATCTTTATAGCAGTGTTTCTCAACCTTGGCAACTTTAAGATGTGTGGACTTCAACTCCCAGGATGCCCCAGCCAGCCAGGCTGGCTGGGGAATCCTGGGAGTTGAAGTCCACACATCTTAAAATTGCCAAGGTTGAGAAACACAGCTTTATAGCCTTTGGTCATTCGCTCCATTTCAGGAGTCGACAGTTCAGGTGTTGCTGGATTACAGCTACAGTTATCTCACCATTAGCCAGGACTGCCTAGGACTGCCTAGGACTGATATGGCCTACCCCTTAAAGGTCTTCTACCTTGTTGACCCTGCACTGGGGTCTATCAGTTCTAGGGGGAAAGGCTTTCATTCAATTGACTTTTTCTCTTTGGTGAGCTGGCTCTTAACAGAATTCAACACACGATCCAAAGCACCTTTAAACATCAATTTAACTGGTACTACCATTATGATCCACTGCACGATTGTGTTCATATTCCTTTCTTAATTGCCTATTTACAGTCCAGGCGCATTTTAAAAGAAAGCAACGTCATCATGGTGAAATTCTCAGGGAGCTGCTAGTAATCCTTTGAAGACTAATGTCTGGGGTGGTGTAATTCAGTGTCTCATAGTAAACCCATCATCCTCATCCATGTGATGGATGGTTGTGGATGTTGACTGAGGTGGTAGAGCATCTGAGAGGCACTCATCTGAGGGAGGGGGGTCTGCTTTGCAGCATGAATTCCCCCATAATGGTGGATCCCGTTGACACATTTCAAGGACTCAGAAACACGAAATTTCTGGAAGTTTTTTTTAGACTTTCTTTGTGCCTTTCCCCCCTCCCCTCCGCCGCCCCCGGTTCAGCGGCAAGCGTGCCCAAGTTTGCATTATTGGAAAGAGTCAGAGGTTGCTGTGGGCCGTTCCCTCCACCTTTCGACTGGGGGAAGGATGGAAAGTTTCTTCTCCTTGGGGATTTCGACGCTCAAGAAAACAGCAACTGTTTTTGGTCACGTTTGGAGACTTGGTTGGGTCGTGTGTGGGAAAATGCAAGGCAACTTGATGGCTGGAGCGTGTAACCGAGCCAAGCCATCCAGCGATTTCCCGGCCTTGTCTGTTCCCTCTCCCCCCTTTTTGTGCCTCAGGCCGCTTCCATGCGATCCTGTTAACTCCCCCCTCCAGAAACCCCTCAAATCTTGCTGATCCCAACCTAACAACCCACAACGGCCTTAAGTGGAAAGAACTAAGCTATCAACCAGGTAGCTCGCGTGTCCTTATAGGCATCCAGATGCCCCTACATCTGTGTAAGGGGGGGCAGAATAGGACCCCCTGCCCCTGCCCCCCCGAATTCCAAAGAGCGGGAATGAGAGAGGAAGCAGCGGTGCCCTGCAAAGCGCCACGCTCCTCTTTGACTTTACGCACACTCGTTTCCCCGCGCCTCCTCCCTCCCCGCCCAACAGAGGCGTGGGGTG